ATTTTTTTTCATTACACTCATGATTCAAGCGATTGTTCTGTTCTGTTCCGTTCTCAATACTAAAAGAACAGAACGCAACTACTTGAAAAAGTTGATTGTGTTATAAGTGACAGAAGAAACGAAGTATAGTACAAAAAGTTCGAGATAAACGATTACCATGAAATTTCAGCTATTTTTGTCAGTATAAAACATTGATCAAGTCATTGTAAATACTATACTTCCATCCACGAAACTTCTTTGAACAAAAATAAAGATAAGCCCCAGTTACAGCTCTTTAATTGTACCTGAACGGCACTGAAACCAGTGAGAATGGAACATTTTGCATAGAAGTCTGAGAATTTGTGCTTGACTCCTCTTGCAATATCCACTATAAATGAAAATACTTTTTATCATGACAAAACTGCTGACAACATTTTGAATTTGTTTGATACTTTCACATACGAAAGTGTTTACTTGTGTTTCGAATCTCTTTTTTAGGCAATCTCAAATATTGCCAAAAAATATGTCACTATGGAAAAAAAACCACAACATTTCAATATACTCATCAGTCGCTTGAGATTCGTTTTCCTTATTGAAGGTTCCTTTTCATCGGAAAAATAATCTAAATTTCTTATGCCAAAATATAGATGAGATAGATATTCCTACTGAGAAAGTTCTGTTATCTTCATCGAATATATACAGTTTTTTATTGTAATTTAGAAAAAATATTACAAACTCTCAGATTCAAATCTTGTAATAGTCTCTTTTCAGATTGATTTGATAGAACACCTCCGAAGAAGCAACAAAATTGCAGTAACTAATCCAGTGCCGCAAAGATTGGATCCTAGTTTTCAACGAGCAATTACCTCTCCTCGCAGTGACGCTCACTGGATAAGGTATTGTCGCTGCGCAAGAATAATTTGATCATGGAGTTTACAGATTGCTTTTATGTTTGATTGCATGCAAAACACAATCGATGAATGAATGAATACGAACACCTGATGCGACAGTGCTCACGATGAATCACTGACAAGAAACACGAAAGTGTGCACTTAAAACTATTAGTACCTTTTTTTCCTTTGTATAACCAAACAAAAAGAAAAATCTCAGAGTATGTTGTAATTTCACTAGAAATTTCACTCATTACACAAGATACTGCACATTAGGTTAATACAGTACGTTCTACATTCCTTGTGCCTTAGCATTGAGAAATTCAATCAAGATATTTCGAAATAATCATTTATAATCTTCTAGTTTTCATATTACATTCTACACTCGAAATGATATACTTCTATGTGCAATCAAAAGCGAGAACATGTACGATTCTGAATATCACGAAATATAAATATATTTGGATTATGGCATTTGTAGTTCATGATTATTCACCAAGAATAGTTTCCTATTATATTTCAATGTAACAACTTTTACTTCAATTGCTTATGTGCCACATTCAATTTTGGCATATCAAGCAAAATCATTTCAATGTTCATATTTTTAACAAGTAACTTACACCGTAGGAATAAGAATGAGGTAAAAGACTTGTTCACGTTGAAATAAGAGTTATTTTGAAGTTAAAATATTTTTCTGCGACAAGCATCAATCGATTGAAAAGAAAAAATAACTTCATATTTACTTTTTTTTCCATGAATGAAAATATCTTTGATTGAGTTGAAATTGACTCATTCCTGATATCAAGGTTACATGCAATAGAAGACAAGAAAGTTTTCATCAAATAAAAATGCATTACACAGTTGTCTCAAGAATTATTTCATATCAAAAGTACTGCGATAACATGATTATGATATAAGATTTTTACAATAGTCTGAGATTGATTAAATAAATAAATTCAAATGAATAAACATGTGACTCGGTAAAACAACACAACAAGATTTCACAGATTTCGTACGCATGATTGACAATGAACCACTTGAAACAATGTGCCACAAAAATAAAACTAGATGCTAGACAAAAAGAAATTGAGTCAATCTCGATTTGAGTCTTTCTCACATCATGAGCTATAAGATACCGATAATTTAAAATTAAAACAAAATTTATTTTCTGTTTTCTTATGCACAGTTAGATAAAAGTTGAGGAGTGCATTCATAATGTGTGTTTACATATTTTTGAACGACTTTTAAATGAAAAAAAATTTCATTTTTTCGTAGTTAGTCCATTTTTTTCAAGCATTGCTCATTGTGTAAAAATTCTCGACTTTTCGATGTTTTCTGTTCTTCATTGATTGCTGATAAAGATAGGCGACATAAAACATTGATCCATTGTTGAACAATATGGAAAAGACATTCAATGATCTTTATTGACTGAAATGGTTGAACTTCAGATGGTGCTTGATTGTCGAGTATAATAGACAATGAGTTGGTTGGATCCATCGTTCACTGAAAGTAATCGTTTAGTATTGATTGATTAATACAAGATGGTTATAGGATGAAACAGGAGTATCTTAAATGATTTCGATTAATTTTGATCGTATTCGCTAATATGTTTTTATCATTCTTATCGAGTGAATTGGTCAAACCATTGCGATCGTGAATCTTTACTTAAAAATTCTTAAGCGAAAACAATCAATGACGTTTTCGTCGAAACAAATTTTACATGAATATTGATCAACTCTGATCAAGGAATATTTCTACGAAGATTTGTAAGAAAGATCTTCAAAGAAATTTCTTATCGAATACGATAAAGAGTAAGCGAAACAGATTGCTATTTTAATCCTCGAATACTTTTCGAAATCAGTTGTTGTCATTTTTGAACGAGAAGAATTCCACATACTCCGATAATCCATTGAAAATCTTTCAAATAGGCAGGAACTCCATTTGATCTAAAGAAATAAAACAAAAATTCAACTTTGCATTTCATTACAAATGAATAGATTAGATGTCGAAGTGTCTCATCCATAATCAATCGCTTCTACTGACAGATCATTTGAAGATAACATTCTTCTGCATGACGAACAATTGCTACCGCAATGTTAATGAAATCCAATGGATCGTATCATTGAGCAATTCCTTCTAAAGTTCTTCGATAATTCCACTTTGCATTTTTAACTAAGATGAAACAAAAATTTCAAGTGAATTTTTCTTGTTCAATCGATTTTTTTCTTCATATCGAATGGACCAAATAATCAATAGTAGACAAGAAGAATAACGAACAGAGTCATTGACAACCGACGAATGCAAGAGACGAATAATTCAAATGTTTCTCTCTTCATTTTATTCATTTATTGGTAATCATAATTAATTTCTCAATGATTGATTTTCAATCGAATTAGTCGAAGTGATGAAAATGAATTCTGTCAAATGTAAATATTCATTGGATAAATCCATCATCGAGTTGAGCAATTAAAGACAGATCAACAATGTCGATCATTAGAAGTACCAACATGATTTACAACAGTCACCAATAGACCAAAAAAAAAGGAAGAAAATAATTGACAGGATGAACATTTAACAGAATTCGATAAATCTTTCTTTTACATTCGACTAATGGGATTTTCGATAACATCAACGGGATTGCCTTTTCTTTTCAGCATTTCTCTTCTTCAAGACATAGATTTCGAATTCGAGTAATACAAATGAATGTATTGCTTGACTGTGCAACGATTTAATCAATATAACATATTTGAGAAACAAGTCGTCTGTGATAAAGCTTTACAGGTTTTTTTTTCAGTGATACGAATAGTTGAAAAATGATTAAAAATGCAAATTCGTTCCATTTTCTATGATCAGAGCAATCGAATGTTACTTCACATCAGATCGTTTTCATCATTTTGAATATTGCTGAATGAATTCATAGCCAAATACGAGTCTCGATTAAATGTGATCGGTTCTATAGATAATATTTTTTTGTATGTAATTAGTTCATTATCTAATCAATTGATTGCCATCTCAGTTGATTAAATTTATTGCCTAGTCGAAAACAGATGCCGCAAGAAGAAGCTTTCATTTGTCTTAATTTTACATCCAAAAGATTTGTAGTAGTGGTATAAGCTCTATATTTTGTGAGAGTTTCAATATTTAGATTTAGACATAAATAGCTTCTGAAGGCATTTATTCGGATGAGGATCTCATGACAGATCGATTGAGTAGGTAGCAACCTGCTTCAGGATGTCATGCCAGACCAATTATGAATGTAGAAACTAGTATCAGGGTACTGCAAATTGCCACGTGAGTGGGCAGCAAGCAATAAGCGTTCTGAGTGCTTATTGAGTTCATATTCGATTGAAACTTCTTGGTATATAAGGGAGCTTTCTCCTTTTTTTCTATATTTGCCTTTTTCTCCCTTGACCAAGAAACTTTTTTCTCAATACTCCATAAGAAATCACATTTAATATCAAGGTGTACAGATTTGCTCTTACTCTCACTTTGACACAATATACCACAGTTTCATGTAATCTGTACATTAGGACATAATATGACTATTGTTTCTGGCTTTTGGATTCATACTTCTGATGGAATCATGAACGATTTCGACTCCGATGCAATTAATAGAGTATACGAGCCAAGCAGTTGATATCATATATAACTAGAGAAAATGATACACTTAGCCAAATTTTACTCGTTTCAATATATTGACCACTTAGCAAATACTTCGAAATGGAGAGACGTACTGATGTTTACTCGTCTGTTTATTAACACCCATTAGGAAATATTCCACATACCATATGAAACAAATAGTGTACGAAGTTTACAAAAAAAAATAATGGAAAATGAAATCTAAATATCCTTGAACTCACAAGTTCTCTATCACAGCAATAATAAAAAGATCAAAAAAATGTCGAGATTATGGCCCCTAGCAATAATTGCCTGTGCGATCATGAAGCATCGCTTAAGATTGAATGAAAAACAATAAAAAAGAAAAAGAATACTGTACACTGACAGATAATAGTTATTATGATTTTGATGAAGATATGATCGTGGAACCACGCATTTGACTTGGCACTTTAGGATCTCGATTACTCATCTGGCGTTCGTAAGAAGTGGCCATGACTTCGACAAGATTTCCAAATGGATCGAGACAATAGACAGCTTGATAGATCTCACTAGGAAATACTGTTAAAACAGGACTTAGTTGTTTGCCACCTGTCGCTACAATCCTACGAACCAAATTTTCAGGTTCAGGATCTGTCACACAAATGTGAAACAACCCAGCCCGAGAATATTCGAAACTGGTCGTGTTTGGACGTCGTGTTGGTGGATCAATGAATTGAAAAAGTTCCAAGCCGACACCATTGCCTGAACTCATGTGAGCCATTTTAACTCGTTTCATCTCAGGTGGATACATCTGAGAGAGAAGACTCCCCATCGAGGTTGAATTATTGACAACAATCTCAACAGGAGCGACCAGTACTGCAAAGCCAAGTACTTCACGATACCAAGCCAACACAGCATCAATGTCAGTCACTGATATACCAATATGATTCATGGGACGCGCATATGTTGTAACCTGTTCAGATGCTGCAATAGAAGTGTGATACAAATGAACTTGATAAAACTTGGACGGTTTGCAACTAAGTTTATCATAATTCGTAATTTATTCATTGCCTACTTATATTTAAAACTTAATTCACAATATATTTTACGTGTTCATCTGATTTCTTTTCAATTATTTCACTATATAGTTCGAATTGTTTTGGCCTACGGGTTTTCCCATTTTGTAGCATATCAAATAGATATTGCTAATAAATTGCAGTAATAGATGAAGATCGAATATCAAAAGTCACTTTTCTATTTTCAATGCTATATATAACACTCAATCGAGGGAGTTTTTCAGAAAACATTCTCGAAAGCACAAAAAGTTTTGAAAGCACTCAAAGTCTTTTATAGGACCGTGCATAGTCGTAATAAACAGACTTTAATAGGCAAGTTACGTCCGAATAAATAATTAACTAAGCAAGGTCGATCCATATGACAATTACAGAACAGTGTATGTGTCTATTGTGCTTTAATATTTATTTCATGTCTTTTCTCAACATACGATCCAGAGGTACTGAAATACTAAATAGTTATTGTGTTATGCAGTGGTCAATATATCTTTCTGACACATCAGAGAAATACTCGACGCGGAAACAGAAAGTTTAAGTTAACTAATAATTCAGCAATGTGGAATCCACAACAGAATTTTCTTAAGAGAAATTCCCCAAATAAATATACGTTCGCGCAAATATGTATATTGTGCATATTGCTGTTATAATCAACTAAAATCATCCAAAAATGACTGAAAACCATAAATCTGTTGTTTTGTCTGGAAATATGTTAAAGATGTTTCGCTTTTTTACACATGCATAAAATACACTATTGTCATAACTTCGTTCCTTTTTTTATGACTTACTGATAATAGTGATAGCTAATAAAAAGCATAGCACGACGAACTTCATGATTCACACCTAGAGCGATGGTCGACGTTGAAAAACAATAACAAATGAATATATTAGCCAAATAAATTGTAGATCATAAAATAAACTACTGACAAATTGAAATATCTTCTATCTTTACGATGGTTGCCGAGTATATATATATATTTATGATATACAAGCATATACAATATGATGCATATCAAATTGAGTTTGCATTACTCACTTCCTTTGCTTGAAGAACGAAAAAATGTTTACAGAATTCGTCATTTGACGTCATTCACATGAATGTTGCAGTCCAACAAAAATATCTCTGACATCTTTTGACTTGACCAGAGTACTTCCGTAAAATTTCGCTATACGCATGCGCACAACAAAACTTCCACTTTTATTAGAGTTTAAAAATACCAGTGTCGATAATGTTTCAATCTTTTTATAGTTAATAGCAATTCGCCTTTACAATGAATCGAATCTCTTGATTGACAGAACGAAATATGCACATGGCAAGAGAAAATGGTTTTCTTTTTGAAAGATGCTACTGACATCTAAAAAAAATGATTACAGCCAACTTGGCTAAAAGATATAATCTCATTGTTCTATTTGCTAGATCGTATTTCATTAATACCCTTATTTATAGCTTATTGTATTGACACTTAAGTGTGTCTCGACATGCTTTAGTTGAAGATAATAGATGTTGTATATCAGAAGACTCTTGAACAAAAGTCAAGCAACAAACAACTACACAAGCAATATTGAACAGATATCAAATGACTGATGTTTTAGTCAACTAACATACCAAAAGAAGCTGTACGAAAATTAAGATATTATATTCATCGACATATTATCTACTATTGATAATAGCAATTATCCAGATATAGTTCATTGACCAATTTAGACTAAATGAACTAATTAGTCGTACAGATTTTGTTGAGTTTGATGTCAGGAACAAGCTCCTCGATTCAGCTAACGAAGAGCTGTCGAAAATAATATGTCATAGTGTGAAGTCATGCCTGAAATAGGCATCCGAATAAGAGGCAAAACACAATCAATATTCACCATACACGTTGCTGATGCCAAGGTCAACTATCACATTTCATAATTGACAATATAGTAGATAATTACATGTGCTTGATACTTATTTCAACGATACCATCAGAAGTAACTATTTGAAATCGGATTTTGATTCTCTGTTATTTACAAATTAATTCATTTTTTCAAGACAATTACGACATATACATATATATTTAAATTACAACTAAAACAAAATCGTCATAATTGTGATCACTTCATTAATCTTTGCAAATTCATGCAATTTTCCATAACTATATTAGGTGATTAAAGAAAAGTCTCTGTCCCTTATCCACTCAAGCCCGTCCCCAATATATTTCAGGCTTCATTACAACTGTTCAAGGAGAAAATAATACCTGAAGACGTAAAATGGGAAAAGAAAATCAAAACTACTGCTCAACAATAAAAAGATATTTTCAATTTTAGAGAATAGAAATAAGATGTGGGCTTGCACAGTGAGTGGTTCTGGATAGGGTGAGTTAAGTTTGCTAGGGGAAGTCGAGGTGTTTTATGTTTCAATAGAGATGTAGCTGTAGATTTTCTTGGTACCAATAGCCTGATCCATCCATATTAACCTCAATAGCTCAACACTAGCAGTAGCTAGCGATCAGTGATTCCAATGGAAGGTCATGGGACATTTTTCTATATAATATCGGGTAAGACGGAATCATCCTGAAAACGCATGGAAACCATATGCCAATAAAATGAATTTTTTAATTTGATATTTGTATGTGATAGACGAATGTCAAAAATTCATTGTATTGATATACTGTTTTCATTTTTTTTTCAGGAAAGGCTTGTATAAATAACAGTATTTAGGATGGTTTTACGTTATATAATATTATATAGAAAAACATCCGATGACTTCCTCTTTTAATTGCCGAAAGCCGCAGGTCGCTAGCTACTGTCATTGTTCAGTTATTGAGCTGACATCTACTCGTCTTTAGTCCTGGTGAGGACATTAGTGGCACAACTGACAGCTTGTTGGTCATGAATGAGTTGATAATGAAGAAAAATAACACGCAGCTTTCGATGATTGACTCGACAGTACGTTTACATTAAAATTATATGTGATTACTATTACATTGCAATTAAATTGTAAGTTTTCTTTCCAATTTCTTATATTTTAAGATTGAATTGAAAATTATATTTGAATAAGGCTTTTTTGATGTTCGAAATAGGTGAGATCGAATCAGGCTTCGCTTTTTAAATCAACTGCTTGTTGATCAATATTTTATTCTGATAGTCATTATATATTCGAAAGTACCAAACCAAACATGCTATTCTTAATCAAAACATCGCATCGCATAAATTAATAGTGACCTGCGTAGCAAAGCAAGAGTTGTTTGTATATGCTATTGAAACCTACGTCGAAATATCTTAAAACAAAGTATTCAGTTGTAGCTTTACAATCGTCTAAACATGCATGACGACATTTTCAGCACACCAACTACGAGAAAGGTATCGATAAAAATGTTCAAGTATGAGAGAATGAGTGGGTGGATGGGTCTGAGTGTTATAAATATTGACCCACAGCCATACCCTGCAAATGCTGAAATGCCGAAGTTCGTTTTGGGAATACTAAATAGATGCGTCCCCGCAAAACAGATGTATTTCATTCCTTGTTGCATAAGAAAAAGTGTGCGCATAATATTCAATCGACAATATAATCTAGTCACCACTGCGGGTGAACATAGAAATTTTTTGGTTATTTGAATAAAAGTGGAAAAATATATGACAACATCTTAAACTATGTAGTCTCCTTTCTGATTTATATTTGAAGTGAATCGAAAGACATGTAAGACGTCCGCACTTATCTACCAATGTCATTTCTTATTTTCGATTTGTATAAAGTGAAGAGTCAGTTCAAAAGTTTCATAAAGCATCGAATGCAATCTCTTTTTGGCATGACATGTTTCATAAATAATATGCTCTACCTAATTCTAGCCAAGTGATGTCCAGTCAATTAAAAGTCATGATTATTCAACATTGACAACAAAAACAAATAAAGTTCAACCACAAGAACAAACGGTAACTCTAATAAAATATGATATTATGATGAGAATATATTGATTGTAGGGTTCTACATTTGGAAACGATGAAAGAAAACTAAACAGATACAAAAAGTAAGCTCTTTTGTCTCTGCGTATTATTCTCTGTAAGCATAAGTTAATTATATTACAGAGATCTTCCGACATTCAAAATCACGCGACCTTCTTGCCTTTGGTTGATAGGTACTGCCTTTGGTGTTATTCTTCTGGCAACTTTAGCGACTGTCATCGCTATAATCGGTATGTATGAATCAATGAATTGTCTTCTGATCTTTCTTATCCAATATTTAAAAGTTATTGCAAATATTGTTGTGAATATCCAATAATGAGTAGTTCAAGCAAAGCTACACCGAGGATTTTCTTGCTATTTTTTTTTCAGTCTAGACAAAAGTGCATCAGTATGTAATATATTGCATTGGCAACTATTTCATTTGTTCAATATTGCAAAGTGATTCAAATCATGAAGTAGAAAAATAAGAGTTTCCAGGAGGGGTCAATTTCACAGTATTTGGAAACCACATCAAAGCAAGACATGCTGTTTCCTTTAAATATATTGTTTAATCGATCGAAACTATTTCACACGCAGTACCTTATTACAAAAGTGAATCAACTTTATCTAACGACAAAATATTACTTTTTCCAACAGTATCGTATAGATGGGCCACTCATAAGATCATTATGTGTATTTTGATAATATTTTCTTTTTTTTTCATCGTTGAGAATCAATGATTTTTCAAACAGTAGGGACCGTAAAAGTATGAAAGATCTCGAAAAATCTTGATATCTGATACACCACATTTTTTTTACGTCTGCTCTAACCGCTCACTGCTTTT